GTGTGCCAAAGGTGGCATGCGAGCTGATTTTTACTGGCACGCTGCTGCCAGCTGGGGTTCCGGCCGCCGGCCCCGCTCAGCTCACTGCCTGCCTGGGTGAACGGAACCCTTGGCCAGCAGCAGGCTGAGCGGGGCCAGTGGCCGGGACCCCGGCTAGCAGGAGCTGGCGGACGGAACCCCAGACCAGAAGCGGGCTGAGCCGCTCAGCCCACTGCCGGTCTGCGGTTCTGTCCACCAGCCCCACTCAGCCTGCTGACGGTCTGGAGTTCCGGCCGCTGGCCCCTTGCCAGCCAGGGTCTCGGCTGCCGGGCCCACTCAGCCCACTGCCGACCTGGCTGAATGGAACCCCCGGCTGGCAGCAGGCTGAGCAGGGCCGGTGGCCAGACCGGAACCCCAGACCGTCAGCGGGTGAGCTGCTGCCGGTCTGTGGTTCTGTCCGCCACCCTGCTCACCTCGCTGCTGGTCTGGGGTTCCAGCTGCCTGGCCCCCTGCCAGTTGGGGTCTGGGCCTCCGGCCCTGCTCTGCCCGCTGTTGGCCTGGGGTACCGGCAGCCAGCCCAGGGCTCTGCTCCTGGCCTGGGCCCAGCACTCTGCAGCCGCCCCCAGCTTCTAAAAAAACTCACATGTCTCGCACCCCCAGAAAGGGCATCTTGCACCCCCAGGGGGTGCGTGCACCCCAGGTTAAGAACAGGGGTGGCTCTATGTATTTTGCCGCCCCAAGCACGGCAGTGAGGCAGCCTTCAGCGGCACGCCTGTGGGAGGTCCACTGGTAACGCGGATTTGGCAGCATGCCTGCGGGAGGTCCACTGGTAACGCGGATTTGGCGGCATGCCTGTGGGAGGTCCGCCAGTCCCACGCCTTCGGCATACCCGCCACCAAAGCCGCGGGACCGGCGGAACTCCCACAGGCATGCTGCCGAAGGCAGCCTGATAGCTGCCCTCACGGCGACCGGCAGGCCGCCCCCCGTGGCTTGCTGCCCCAGGCACGCGCTTGGTGCGCTAGTGCCTGGAGCCACCCCTGGTTAAGAACCACTGCACTAAACTGATAAAATCTGCATTTTAATTTAATTTTAAATGAAGCTTCTTAAACATTTTAAAAACCTCGTTTACTTTACATACAACAATAGTTTAGTTATATAATATAGACTTATAGAGAGAGACCTTCTAAAAACGTTAAAATGTATGGCGCGCGAAACCTTAAATTAGAGTGAATAAATGAAGACTCGGCACACCACTTCTGAAAGGTTGCCGACCCCTGCTCTAGAGAATGTAGAGGTTATCAATTTGTTCTATGTAAATGATGAAATACATGATAAAAGCATGCTGCAAAATTTCTAGATTGTCTTTAAACTGGTGATCTAGTTCCAAAGTGTAGCAATGATGACATATATGAACACTGCAACCTCCATGTAAAGGACAATATTTCTATAGGTCCATGCTAATTACTTGCATTTTGGTGTTGATGACACATCACAGAATGCATACCACATAATATAATTTAAGACTCACATGTTGTAAACAAACATTTCTTTAGCTATATTATTAAAACACTTAAAGATGATTAAAAGAGGGGGGAGGAATCCTGACCCCTTTGAAGTCAATAGCAAAATTCCCATTGACTTCAATAGGGCCAAGATTTCACCCACAGAATTTTTAAAATTTTGATTTACATGTCACTGTTTAAGCTTTTTTTTCTTTTTGCATGTCTCTTAGCTTAGGGAATGAAAATGGATGAAGTCAGATTAGTTTCTGTTCATAGTCATTTTCACTTTGATTTCATTGACAATTTTTTTAATTGTGGAAATATTTCTATTGGTTTTAGGTTTTAGAAAATCTAGCATAAGAAAATTTAAATTTTGGGCCAAGTTTAAATTGACAGTTTCTCGTTAAAATACAAATCAAATCAACAAGTAAACAAAAAAAAATCAACCAAATTTACAGAAAAGTTTTCAACAAGTTTTAAAATTTTTGAGGAAACCCTTTCTAGTCCCCATACAGAAATATTTTTTCTTTTTCTGTCTTTCTTTTTTGTTGATTTTTGAAAAATGATGTGCACATGTATTACACAGATAATAACATTGTAAAAAGTCACACAAATAAAAGAAAAACAGCAAATATTTTGTTATGGGCTTATATCAAATGATCTAAATATTTTTCTTTCTAATATTGTTTCAAAGGGCACTTTCAACTCAATATCTCAAGTGGAATTTTCGGCTGTCCTGTCAAACAGAACATGTTCTGGAAGAAGTGAAAGCCTTGAGAATTATAAATACTACAATATGACTGGAATCATTACCATAAAACGTTTAAATTAAGCCACTCTAGGAGTTTCCCTTTGCTCCTGTGAAGTCATTTTGATCTATGTTACTATGCAGAAATTTGCAGTAAGATATAACTTACCCAGTCACTACAACTATCAAACTGCTTATCTCATTCACAAAGAGTCAAGCAACTTTAGAGAAATGGGCCCTGTCTGTACAAACAGAAAACAGCTTCTAGATTCCATCCAAACAAATAGCCTCAGTAAGGATCTCACTGTATAGGAGAGAAAACAACTGTTTGCTTGCCACCTTCCTCTTTTATTTCCATCCTCTGTGGGGGAACCTCACAACCTATTTTCTTCAGTGCTAAGTGTTAAGATTGTGGATTCTGAAGGTTAGCAAATACCACACCCTTTCCCTATGTTTGCTTTCAGGGCGGCAACATGACCGTTCCTGAGAGACTGAAAAAATAAAAAGTAATGCATATTGTACAGCATTAGTGCTACTTTGATTAATGCAGGTGCATAAGCACAAAGCAGCCTCAGTCAGCTTCATACCAATAGAATACAGGGAGGATTGAACAATTTTTATGGGGGTGGGTAGGTGCTGAGAACCACTGAACCAAACTGTAAACCCTGTATATAATGGAACTCCCCCCGCAACTCCAGTTCCAGCACCTATGATAGAATAGCTATAGAAATACAACAGACTAATGTTTTGGCTGTTTTGGAGGGGGTAGATTGTGAAAAGAAACACACAACATGCACAGATCTAGTTCTAAACATGGCTGTACCTATCAGCACACATACGCATATCTATATATACACAACAGAGATGTGTAAAGAGAGAGAATGTATCTATTTGTGTCTCTTATACAGAAAGGCGACTGTGCTTCCATCTCAGGAACACAGCTGTATCTAAAACACAAATCTGAAGACTAGGCAAATGTAACACATACCAATATGTGCTGTACATTGCAAACGTACACACAGCTGTACACGCGTGTATTGTGCACAACGCCGAGAGCTCGCTAGCCTACTCAAAAAGAAAAAGATGCAGGAAATAAGACCCACTCTCCAGAGCGCGAGAGGAATAGCTCCGCTCGATGGACTCGCGCACTCGTCCGCTCTGGGCAGCCCCCCGGGAGAGCCAGCAGTGGAGGTGGCTGGAAGGGCGTGGTGATGCTTTTTAATGAAGTAAATAGGGAGGGCAGGACTCGCCCCACCCAGGCCAGCAGGTACCCGCCACCCACCTGACAATGGGTCCCAGCTGCAGGATGTGCAGCAGCAGCACCAGGGGTCTGTCCCGGCTCAGGTCCCGGTGGATAAAGACCAGGTTGAACTGCACCAGCACGCAGGGCAGGAGGGCGAAGAGCAGGGTCAGCGCCTGCCAGATGCGGTCCCCCGCCGAGCGGTAGGTGCTGCTCAGGTACAGGGCGGTGCCCGTCTCGGCTACGAAGAGGAGCAGGGAGACGAGAACGGAGCCTGGGAATTTCATCTCCTCCCGTGCAGGCGGCCCGCGCGCCGGGCGAGTTATCTGTCTGCGGCAGCCGGCTGGGCAGGGCCCCCGCTCCGCCCATCGCCCTCTGCCGCGGGGCTCGGGCCGGGCTGCCGCGGGGTGCGTGCGGGGAGAGCGCTGCCCGCTAGGGGGAGTCCCCAGGGCGAGCGGCCGCTTGCTGCCGCTGCCCAGGCACCTGCGTCGGGTTCTTGTCCCCTCGCCCCCACAGGGGCCTGCCCGGCCCCCCTCAGCTCCCGGGGAGCCTGCCGCGGCCGGACGTGAGAGCGGGCTCGGGGCCCTGGGAGAGGCACCCGCGTGGGCAGAGCCTGCCCGGTACGGCAGGGCGGAGAGCAGCTGCCGCAATGGCAAAGGGGCTTGGGCCAGCCCCAGCGGAGGGGAACCCACCTCTTCCTCTGCGGCGCAGCGCTGCTTGTGGGGGTGGGGCGCGGGAAAGAGTGGCAGCCCCCCCCCCCAGGAGCTTTATTGTAGTTACCTCTGCAGCCCCCTACATAGGGGTGCTGGGACAATTTGTGTAGTGGGGGTACCCCATCCCCACTGTAGACCCGCTCAGGGGTTCTCAAATTCATTGCAGCACAACCCCCTTCTGACAACAACAATTACTACATGAGCCTAGGAGGGGGGACCGAAGCCTGAGCCTGCCTGAGCTCCACCACCCCAGGCAGCGGGGGGCAAAGCCCAAGGGTTTCAGCCCCAGGCAGGGCACTTGGAACCTGAGCCCCACCACCCAGGGCTGAAGCCCTTGAGCTTTGTCCTCTGGCGGTGGGACTCAGGCTTAGGCCCCTGGGCCCTAGCAAGTCTAATGCCAGCCCTGGCGACCCCATTAAAATGGGGCTGTGACCCACTTTGGGGTCCTGACCCACAGTTTGAGAACTGCTGCTGTATATGATAGAAACCACTTCAAACCAGAGGGTGCAGCAGCACCCCCCACACCCCTAGTTCCAGCACCGATGCCCCTACACAGTTGGTTAAAGATCATTGGGTGATAGGGTTGTCAATTTTGGTTGGACCTGTTCCTGGAGGTTTCATCACATGACAATCTTTAATGAAAACTCAATCTTTAATTCCTAGGGCTTGTCTACACTACCGCACGGGGTCGATCTAAGATACGCAACTTCAGCTACGTGAATAGCGTAGCTGAAGTTGGCGTACTTAGATTCACTTACAGTAGAGTCTTCACTGCGGTAGGTCAACAGCTGGCGCTCTCCCGTCGACTCCGCTTGCGCTTCTCGTTGTGGTGGAGTACTGGAGTCGACAGGAGAGCGCTCAGCGGTTGATTTATTGCATCTATAGTATGACCCCTGCTGGATTGCTTGCTGCCCGCCAATCCGACGGGTAGTGTAGACAAGCCCCTAGAGACTCCAGGGCAATCCTGGAAGGTTGGGAACCCTAATTGGGTGAGAGTTTCTGAAGTTCAAAGCTGATCCTCATTCTCCATTTCCCACTGCACTATTTCCCCATGTGGTTTGCCAGACTGTAAGTAGGCAGGGACAAGGACAGCCTTCGGCAGGTGTCTTGCACAGTGCTGTGAACTTAACATAATGGTGGCGCATTCCCATGGGGGAAATGGAAGGTTGTGTTAGCTTTGACCACCCACTTCAGTCCTCATCAGCCTTCCGAGGGAAGGGGGTTGGACCCAGTTCCAAGAGTCAACCTGCAAGGATTGCTTGGGTGAAATAAATCAGAGATGGCAGGTTCATCTAGGCTGACTTGGGCTGAACTGCTAGCAAACACCGGGAAATCAGATTGATGGCCTAAGTGCAAGAACAAAAGCAGCCTCTGATTTTGTATGACAATTTTCAGGTGCCCAACTTGAGACACTTGAATGCAGTTGGCGTTGTGGGCACTCTGCTTTTCTGAAAAATCAGGCCCAAGGTGTTTTAAATTGGCACCTGAAAGCTGTAGCCACTTTTGAAAGTTTTAACCAAGGTTTCCCTAGTTTAATCTCTCTCATAATGTAACACTGATCTCCCCATTCAGCCACTTTTCATAGCTTACCATGTGCATACAAATTCCTGCAGTGCTTAATTTGTGGCAGGGCTGAGCCCTGGCATCTCTAGGTTTGGCGGTTCATAGCCCTGGCACCCCACTTGCTACTTCAGTTATGAATGTCAAAAAATTGCTTGAGCCTGGTACCTCTTTCATTACAAATTAAGCACTGAATTCCTGAATCCCTTATGGCGTGTCCATAGGGCTTCAATAAAACACTGCAGAAACTTTAACTATGGTTTATGGGTACTTGTGAAACCTGGAGACCAGTTGCTGAGGAAATCTATTTTAGAAAAAGATTAAGATGAAATGGGAATAGATTTCTGACCTCTTGTCCTGCTTTTGACAGCTTTGGGGGCTGCAACCTCGGCTTCATCTCCTTTTGGAAAAATAAACAGACCCATAATTCACAGTTCAGCAATACTAGTGGTAGAAATGGTGAAAGCTGTAGGGTGGACAGGCTCAGGACCTTGCTGCCAAACCCTAAGGGTATGTCTTCACTACCCGCCGATCCGGCGGGTAGCAATCGGTCTATCGGGGATCGACTTACCGCGTCTCGTGAGGACGCGGTAAAATCGATCCCTGATCGCTCTGCCGTCGACTCCGGAAATCCACCTCGGCAAGAGGTGGCAGCGGAGTCGGCGGCAGCGCGGCAGCGGTCGACTTTCCCCCGTCCTCACCGCCAGGTAAGCCGACCTAAAATACGCAACTTCAGCTACGGTATTCACGTAGCTGAAGTTGCGTATCTTAGGTCGGAACCCCGCTGTAGTGTAGACCTAGCCTAAGGTAGTGGATTACAGTTCTGAGTTTTCAGAGCAACAAACACCAGCAGATGGGTAGAGAAGTGTAGCTTCCCAGTGTCAGAGCCTATGCCTCCTCAAATGATTATTTTTCCAACTACAGGGCCTATGTCTTATGTGTTTGTACAGCACCTTGCACAATGGGTCTCTTATCCTGACCGGAGCACTATTGGAAATTAACATAATAGTAGTCATCACTGATCGTGTTCTCAGCAGGGATGGGCAAACTGCTTCAGAAAAGACCCCATCCATTTTCTCAAACCAAAACGCCAGCTTTCATAGATTATTAGATATATGTCTCACCACAACCCTCCTCTGCAGAAGCCCCAGTAGGCCTGACGCTTTGTTTGCTTTCACATGGTTAAAAAACCCTCCATCCTGAGAAGACTCCACAGATATCAGTCCCCTTGATGGTGGAGACGTCATTTAAATTAGTGCATAGCAATTATAAGGTGTTGTCTCTGCTAGCATAGACAATCATTAACAAAGTTCATGTTGAGAAGGAAAAAGGGTGTTTTATGGCTTTCATTGTGCTCTCTGCCAACCTGATGCCACACTAATAATGTAACAGTTTAATGAACCCATCTAGTAATTCAAATATTTCAAATGCCCAAAGTGAAATGATGCTTTAAAGGTTAAAATCATTAATTCTTAGTTGGTCTCCTATGTGGCAGAGACACCCACTGCTATTGGATGGTGGCACATACTTTCTAACAGATGAATGAAGTTTGAAGGTTATAAAGGCAATGTGGACACATCCTTATCGATATGATGGCTTTAAAGAATATTATCTAACACCCAGAAAGAGCAATTGGAATTGTCTCAGTTACTGGGCAAACTGCACCTCTGACTTTTCCTGATCTGTCCAAGCTCGCCCCCTCTAGCTCTCAAGCCTCGAGGCATCACCAGTCTTTCAAGGTGGAATCATGTGATTGTTGCACTCTCAGACTGGGCCCTGGGTTGCAACCGTGATTTACCTCAGCAGGTCTGAGGTATGTCCAAACCCTGCAGTTCTTTCCTCTCCTGGGTGACGACGATAGTAATCAGTGACCAACCGGCCTTCTTAAAGCACTTCAGAGAAAACATATCTTAAAAACAATAAAAAACGCACTACACACATCTAGCTTACTGGGTCTTTAACTGTCTTCCACACGGGGACCCTAGAAGGACTAGCTCCCTATAGACTCTTCCACAGAGCCTCCCTCTCAAAGCTCACGACACGCTCTGGGCAGCTGCAGAGACTCATCACTCTTCACAGGGATCAATACACTTTTTTAATTGTTTAACATCCTTTGATCTCTCATCTCCCACCACAAAAAGTGGTGTCACTTCGGCTTACACCCTCGAAGGATACCACTGTCTTTCGAGTGGTGGTTGGGTGCTCTTACAGGAAAAGCTATTGTGTCACCTACCTGTACAGAACCACTGACCTTGAGCCTTATTATAGTATAATAAACATTCCAGTAACCCCAATGTCCAATAACTTACATTTACTGACCAGGGTCAGTTTTCTTAAAATTATTGTATAGCAGTATTCATAACATTATTATGTATCAGCTCCAGATCTGCAACAAGTATTAGGAGAAAAAGTGATAACTGCCTTTTGTTTGGGACATTTCTAGATCTGCATCTGCACTGGCAAATCTGGAGCCCACAATTCACCACAGCTCCATAATTTGTTATTCCACGGGTGGTAGCACAGACAGACACTATAGTGAAGAGAGGGCTCAGTTGTATTTTACTACTGTGCCACCTAAATGTTCTTCAGAGGAGAACTGAAGGTGCTCTGAGGATAGGGCCCTTCAAATGGGGGAGGGAGGACATGTGTGTGTGAAATTTAGGTAGGCTGAAAATATTTGCCTGAATTGAAAACTGACCAACACAACAAGGGTAACATCTCTCTACTATTATGAAGTCTGCCGTGGGATCTCTAATGACCACAGGTGGTCCAGACCTTAGTTTTACTTCTCATCCGAAAGACCTCTGCTCCAGCAGCACAGTGCCACCAAGAATAGTACTGGGACGTTGAGTCAGCACTGATTTGGAGGGAAAAGTAGTACCTACAGCAAGTGTTCTCATGAGTAATTAATCAATTAATACAAATATCCATAACATTTAAGTTTAGGCTTTTATTATAAGGAAAAGATAACCACAGCTTTTATATTAACAATGTGGGTATAGCATAGATTTTCT